GACAGAGTGTCATTCTGTCACCCAGGCTGGAGGGTAGTGGCATGACCTTGGCTCACTGCAACCTCCCTCTCCCAGGTTCAAGCGATTCTCATGCATCAGCCTCCTGAGTAGCTGAGATTACAGGTGTGCATGACCACGCCTGGCTAATTTTTATATTTTTAGTAGAGATGGGGTTTTATCATGTTGGCCAGGGTGGTCTTGAACTCCTGACCTCAAGTGATCTACCCACTTTGGCCTCCCAAAGTGCTGTGATTACAGATGTGAGCGACTGTGCCTGGCCAAGTCCTTGTTGCTTGCAGGAGGCAGGGATCCACCAGGCTGCCCCTCCTGTTACATGTGGGAGAGTGGAGAGGTGGAGGCTCCCTGTGGGTCTGCACTGGGGAGAGATGAGACAGGCCGCTTGTGGAGAGTGCTAAGTGCTCATCACTTTGAGCACGGTTGATCTGTACGCTCTTGTGAAGTGCCAGCCCAGCCTTGTAGTACCTGCCTTCTAAAGATGAGGACCCTGAGGGCTTGTCTGAGGCCAGCTCTGTCTCGGGCCTCCCCAGCAGCCTGGCCCTCAGTCCACTTTTGCCCATCATGCCCCACTGACCAGGGCAGGGACTGCCAGAGGCTTCCAGGGGCCACCTCTGGACACCTCTGTAGTGCCATCTCTCGCCCACAGGGTGCCAGCCTGGGTGAGCAATGGGGATGCTGTGGACACAGCCTTCTCCGGGGCCCAGTGCTCCAGCTGGAAGCGGAAGAGTTCCCGTCGCAGTAAGTCTCCCCTCCGGCCCGCTGCCCACCCCAGGTAGCTAGCTCCAGGATATCCTAGTCTTTCCTAACCCAAGAGAGCTGATGTGGGCTCCTGTGAGCCCCGGGGTCATCCTCACTGTGGGCTGCTGTGGCCCTGGAGGACCAACCACTGCCCATGAGAGCTGAGGACCAGGAGTAGCTGACACACCCAGCTTTTCATCTGCTCCTCAAATACTTATAAAGCTCCCACAATGGGCCAGGGTGGCCTGGTGGTGGGAGTGCCCTGGGGACCAGGGTGAAGTCCCTCTGTGAGCAGAGCCACACACCTTGCCATGGGAAGGTGCCCAGCCAGATGAGCCCTGTAGATAGAGAGGGAGGCAGCAAGGGTGGGGAGAAGAGGGTCTCAGACAGAGGGGCCAACTTGTGCAAGGGCCCGAGGGCAAGAGGACACCTGGCTCTCGGGCATCGGCAAGGGCGTCATCTGCGGGGGTGGGGAGCATGACGGGGTGAGATGTGGCTGCCGGCCCTGCAGCTCCTCGGGGCCTCAGATGCCATGCTTAAGGTTCTCAAGGCAATAGGAAGCCACAGAAGGAAGGCGAGTGATGCGGCTGCCTTTGCCTTTCAGTCCCTGTGCGCCGGGGCGGGAGCAGTGTAGGAGACCAGGTGGGGAGGGTGGAGCCCGCTGGGAGGCTGTCGTGGTCTTGTAGGATGGGGATTCTGAGGTTGGAACTGGGGGCTGAGAGAGAGGTGGGCAGGCCTGGGAGCTGGTGTGGGAGGAGGAATAGGGGCTCTGACAGGGCTCTAGGGGCCCCGGGACCCAAGGAAGCATCACAGGCCAGGGAGTCTGTGATTTATGCCTGGAAGGCCTATAGATTGAGGACTGGCTCCCATCAGGGGTGGGGGCTGGTTTTCCAAATCTCATGCTGCTCGGTGATGAAGGGCTCATCTGGGGACCTGGGTGACTGAGGATGCTAGGGCCGGGGCACAGGTGCTGGACTGAGTCATGCTCTCTGCAGGAGCCAGGAGCAGCTGTCCATTAGCCAGATGGGCAGGCCTGCGGGTGGCAGGGAGGCAGGTGGGGCCTGTGTGGTCACTGGGAGGGCACCTTGGATGGGCTGGAGGGCGGGGAGAAGGGGGAACCCGGCACCCCCTGAGAGCAGCTGGCAGGGCTGAGGGCTGGGCTGGGCTGGCAGAAAGCAGGGTGCTGCATGCTACCAGCTGGTGCAGTCCTGATGTCACCTGCAGCACCTCCGGCCAGGCCGCCGCAGGCCACCACAGCCCCAGTTGGTGCTCTTTCTCCCCTCTTCCCTCCCAGTTGACCGGTTCACTTTCCCTGCCCTGGAAGAAGATGTGATTTATGACGACGTCCCCTGTGAGAGCCCAGATGCCCATCAGCCTGGTATGGTTTCTGCAGTGCTTTCCTGCTTCTCTTGGGGACGGGAGGGAGGCAGGGATTGGGGAGGGTCATCTCCTTCCATTTCCTTCTGTCCCCACCTGGCCCAGTGCCCCTCCTTCTTGTCTTTAGAAACAACTGTAGTCATGGGGAGAATCTGAGGTGGCCAAGGGTGTGGCCGGCGGGGCTGGGCAGGGCTGGGCATCATGGGCAGGGCCATGCTCCACTGTGGGTTCCTGGGCAGGTCATCACCTTTCCAAGCCTTGTTTCCCTCCTCAGGAAAATGTGGCCATAATCCGGGCTTTCCAGGGCTGTTGGGGAAGATGACAGACGATTCCACTCAAAGGGGAAAGCAGTTAAAGCTCTGGAAAGTCCTGCACCCTGCTCTTGGTTGAGGGCTGAGGTGGGCCGGCAGGCAGGCAGGCAGGCAGTCAGGCAGGCGGGCAATTGTGGCCACAGATGGGAGATGGGGTGGGGCTGGGGCAAATCTCGCTGGAACTCACCTGATGGGAGAGAGGACCATTCGATGACAACAGGAAGAGTCGTGTTTGCTTGAACACGTGAGGCCAAGCTACTCTTCGTATTTTCAATCACATGACAGCCTCAAGACTGAGGACGTTACGTCCTCATTTTACAGAGAAGGGAACAGCAGAGGCAGGGCTAGGATTTGAATGTGGGGTCATTCTGACCCCAAGTTCAATGCTCTGTCCACGACGCCAGGAGGATTCGAGTGGCATTTTATGACAGATGAGGCACATTTGATCCCACTGATCCCATGACCCCATGAGGGTAGCAGGGCCAGGCTTATTTATGACTCCTGTCATAAAGAGAGGTTAAGCCACCAGCCCCAGAACACACAGCCAGGATTTGAACAGGCGACTTTGCTTTTCCTACTGTGCGATTCTTCCTGTTTTCGGGGGCTCTCCTTCCAATGGGGAAGCACAGCCCCTGCTTTTGAGGAGCCCCGAGTCTGATGGGACAGCTCTAACCATCCTTGAGCAGCATACAGTCCAATGGGATGGGAACACTGACAGACAACACGGCAAGGCCTGAGGGCCCCAGAGCCGCACTCCTGACTCCAGTCTCAGGAATGGGGATGGATGAGCCAATGATACTCTTATCCCTTTAGCAAGCCTGGGATGTGCTTGGAGCGCATTTTCCTGTTTGTAGCACACTCAAGTTCAGGGCATGATGGATTCCCATTGTGACGGGAGGCAAAGAAAAGTGTTAGGAAAGTCCCAGGGCTGGGCGTTCTGAGTGGCCGAGGGGCCCCAGCTGTTGTTTAACCCATTTGGCCTGTTTCCCACCTGAATTCAATCAAGCCACTAAGTCCCAGGCCTGTCTTCTCTGTCCTCAGGGTCTGGGAGGATGTGGCCTGTTTGTGGCCTGGGAGTTACACAGCCTGTGTTTGCACCCTAGCTCTGGGCCTGCAAGTGAGGACCAGGATTCCCGCATGCTGGGCTATGGGAGGATCCAGTGTGACAAGGTTGCAGAGCTCAGTGCAGGGCTGGCTCTTGGTAGGCGCTCTTCACACAGGGCCGCTGCTGCTGTTGTTAGTGTTACGCCTGCCGAGGGTCCAGCACTGGGCTGCCTGGGGCTTCGGTGGACTCAGCGGGAGCTCAGAGAGGAGGTGGTTACCCGAGGGACAGGCTGTGTGCTGCGGTGGGCACACACAGCTCTGTGTTTGAATCCTGGCTCTGCCATTGATTTGGGCACAGGGCTTTGTGCCTTTGGGCCTTGGCTTCTTCGTATAAAGCAAGAATATTCCCAGCTCTAAGGCCTTTGGGGAGGGTCACACTGGGTCCTGCCCAAACTCTCTGAGCCTCAGTTGACCCATCTGTAAAACTGGGGCAATAATGGCCAGTCCTTGGGTGGTAGCGTGGATTCCATGAGGTAATTGATGAGCAGGAAGCATGAGGGGACCCTTGTGTGGTCCATCTTCATTTCATGGCCCTCAGGCTGCACACAGGCACCAGAGTTCTGTGACTCTGTCTCCGCTGGAGAGGACATTACTATGTGTGTAGATGGTGGGGACCTCAGCGAACGGTAGTGTGGAACCCAGCCCCGCTCACTGTCTTACTGCAGCCAGCCACAGCTCTCCCATCTGTCTAATAGGAGGGGTGATCATTCACACCTGCTGTCTGCACAGGACCACTTGGAGCCGGGGCGCACCGAGGACAGAGGTGGTCGGGTGCGCGGTTCAGCCCTGTGGAGGCATGGACCTGCCACGTGCTGCCGGGGTTCCTCCTCAGGGTTTCCCCAAGAACTCTGCCTCTTTGGTCACTAGTTGAGGGGACTCCACCGCAGTAACGGGATAATGAGCCTGGCCTTCTGAAGGTCGCAGCTGCTTCACTCTCTAAAGACATTAGTTACCATTATCTTTTGCTTAAAAATAACCTCATGTTCCCTCCTGGTCCTGGGACCCGTGTCGTGCTAAGCCTCAGTGCCTCTGTTTTGTTCTTTGGCTGATGCTCTTGCCCCTCACCCCTCACACCCCAGTTTTCCTGTGGGGTGAAGCTGGGGGTCCTGGGTCTATGGACTGACACACAAGCCCCCCCAGAGCCACCACAAATGACTGCCTGCTGCTGTCAGCCGAGCGCGTGCTGTGTGCCAGGCACTTTGCCAAGAGCTCCTTGGCTGTTTTATGTACTCCACCTGTCCGCTGACTATTAGCCCCATTTTGCAGAGAGTTCTCTGATGACCAAAGCTTACAGTTTTTTTTGACACAGTCGCTTCTGAGCAGATTTCTTTTCTTTTTTTTTTTTTGAGACATTGTCTTGCTCTGTCGCCCAGGCTGGAGTGCAATGGCATGATCTTGGCTCTCTGCAACCTCCTCCTACGGGTTCAAGCAGTTCTCCTGCCTCAGCCTCCTGAGTAGCTGGGACTATTGGTATGCACTACCATGCCTGGCTAGTTTTTATATTTTTATAAACACTGGGTTTTACCATGTTGGCCAGGCTGGTCTCGAACTCCTGACCTCAGGTGATCTACCCACCTTGGCTTCCCAAAGTGCTGAGATCACAGACATGAGCCACCATGCCCTGTCAGATTTCTTTTTTCTTTTTTCTTTTTCTTTTTTAAAAGCCCTTCCCAATGCTATATTTCTTCTGTGCATGAAGAAATATTGCTTTGGAAAGGGTTTTTAAAACCCATTTTCATCTTCATGAACTTTTTGGCGTCCAACCCCACTTTAGTGAGGTCTGCAGTTCTCCAGGTAACAGATGAGGAAATGAGACCCAGAGGGGCGAGGGGCCTTGCCCGAGGTCCCCCAGTGATGGAGCTGGGGCTGGGACCTTGCGTTCCGGCCTCAGGACAGTGACTTTCCCACCTTAGCCTTCAAGTGGCGTCTCACAACCCAGTTGAAAGGGCCCCACGAGTGCCCTGCCCCTTGTGGGACCTGTCCCTCAGATGATGCGACTCTCAGCTTCTTGTCCCCAAGTTTTCAGTCCGAGACATTTCCCTCAGGCTTTGGAAGGGAAGGAGCTCCTGGATGCTGGGCCAGCTGCGCCCCCTGCTGGAAGACCTTGGGCCACACGTGAACTCAGATTTGGGGTGAGGGGCCCTGGGGCCCCAAAAATCTCTGTGTCATTCCTGAAGGTGCTGACGGCCTGAGCCAGGACTTGGCTCTGGATCTTCTCTTTTCCAGCAAAAAATAGGTCACGTGTGGGGGCTCCATGGCTGGGTGCAGTGGCTCATGCCTGTAACCCTGGCACTTTGGGAGGCTACTGCAGGAGGATCACTTGAGCCCAGGAGCTCAAGACCAGCCTGGGCACATAACAAGACTCCATCTCTACAAAAAATTAAAAAAAAATTAGCTGGGTGTGATGGGACACACCTGTGGTCCCAGCTACCTGGGAGGCTGAGATGGGAGGATCACTTGAGCCCAGGAGTTTGAGGCCGCAGTGAGCTGTGATTGCACCCCTGCACTCCAGCCTGGGTGAGACAATGAGACCCTGTCTCTAAAAAAAAAAAAGTTGCCAAGGAGGCCCAGAATGAGCACCGAGAGCATACAAAAGCAATGCTGGGAGCAAAAGGAAATAAATGGGCCCCTGGCGAGTCTGACGCATTTCTTGTGTTTTCCCCATTTTCTCAGGCCCTCCTTGCCCTACAAGGGGGAGGATGTATTGTTATCTCCACTTCATGGTTGAGGAAGTGGAGCTGGAGCCCCAGGACCCCCACATTCTCCCTGACCCCCCTTGCCCCACCTGGGTTCAGAAATTGGATCTGAGGCTGGAAGTCTGGCAGGCTTGGCTTCAGGGCCTGGGCTCACCGGCGGTCGCTTGCCCAGCAGGGGCAGAGAGGAGCCTGTTCTACGAGGATGCGCACCGGACTGGGGCGCCTCGGCAGGCGGAGGACCTAGGCTGGAGCTCCAGTGAGTTCGAGAGCTACAGCGAGGACTCCGGGGAAGAGGCCAAGCCGGAGGTCGAGCCCGCCAAGCACCGAGTGTCCTTCCAGCCCAAGGTGAGGGGGCCGGGGGTATCTCTCACCTCAATCAGGGCACAGAGACCCCTTCAGGGAGGGAGGGAGCAGGGTGGTAAGGGCCAGGCCCAGGACTCTCATCTGGGTCCCAGGGATTCCCAGGAACATGTGGTGAGAGGGGAGCCAGAGCCCAGGTCATCCTGAAATAGGAGGTGACCCATAGGCATTGCTGTTGGTAGCCCTAAGCCTGGTATTGGCATGGCTGGCACCTGGCATAGGTACTCCCCCCATCCCCTTGCTGTGGTAGACCTGGTTGATTAATCCTGTTGCTCATGGGCTCAGATTGGGCTTCAGAGTCTTCCCAATGCTGCACTCCATGTAGCCCAGCCACTTAGAGGTGGAGCCTGGACCAGATCCACTTGTTCTCCCCGCCCTCTGGGACTGACGCGCAGATCAGGCCTCAGCCCACACAGTCCTCTCTGCTCTGGGGTGGTGGACAGCAGGGCTTCTGTGGCTAAGCCAGAGTGGCCTGGAAGGCTTCTCTCCAGGGTCTCACATGGTGCCCTCCATTGATTCAGTTTCCCTATGTTTTTGCCTGGAGCAGGGGTCGTTCTGCTTATTTCCTGGAGGGGAGCCCTTGAGGCTGCAAGGAAGATAGGTCTTCTGGTTCCTCCTCTCCCGTGGCACCCTGCTCCTTCCATATTGTTCTGCAGAAGCCACCAAGGGGCAGTGTCTGCCCATGCTGAGATTTGTGGTTTCATGGGGACAGCTTCTTATAGGCCCTGACTGAGCAGAGGGGATGGGGTCCTTCTCAGGTTCCTTTTACTTTTATTTGTATTATTTATTCTTTTGAGGCAGAGTCTCACTCATTTGCCCAGGCTGGAGTGCAGTGGTGCAACCTCGGCTCATCACAACCTCTGCTTCCCAGGTTCGAGCATTTTTTTGCCACAGCCTCCCGAATAGCTGGTATTACAGATGTGCACCATCATGCCTGGCTAATTTCTGTATTTTTGTAGAGATGGGGTTTTGCCATGTTGCCCAGGCTGGTCTCAAACTCCTGGCCTCAAGAGATCCACCTGCCTCGGCCTCCCAAAGTGCTGGGATTACAGATGTGAGCCACTATGCTGGCCTCAGGCTCCTTTTGAAAGATGCAGCAGGGCAGGAGAGCTCTGCCTAGGGCCATTCCTGCATGGGCAGGGCAGGGACAAGAGAGGGGCCTTTCCCTGGACCTCCTGTCCTTTTCTGGCTTTGGGGGAACCCCTGTAGAAGAGGCATGCTGGCAGGAGGGACACCCACACCTGAGTCCTCGGGCAGCCATTCCTCAAACCAAGATGGGCTCCCGGAGTCCTGAGCAAGCCTGGGGATGAGCAGGTCTCTCTGAGCCAGGTCTTTCCAGGGATGAGCCTCCACGGCTGGGCTGTGGAAAACACCCGAATGTCTTGCTAGCCAAAAAACAAAGCATTTACGACACCTGCTGTGTGCCTAGTTCGTATCTTCAGTTGCGGGATGGGATACATTGGAACAGGAAGACCTGACCCGGGCTCAGCCAACCTTTATGGTCCACAGGAGATATTGAATGGGAAACAGTTTGGCAAAAGTGAAGACAAAGTGCTGGTCATCATAATCAGGGTGGTACAGTTGTCAAAAATAAACTATCAGGCCCTTCAAAACAAAACCAAACAAAGGCAAATATGCCTTTATGTACACGTAAGCCTGTGTCCAGCCTGGTTGTGTGCCTGATAGGGGTAGGGACGGATAGGGCCAGTCACAGGAGGCTTCCGAGAGTGGTGAGTTGGAGCTGGTGTTCCTCCTCCTCCTCCTCTCCCGTGGTGGCTTTCCCAGGCTCCCGCCCTCTTGCTGCGACTGGGAGGAAACCATGCGCGTCTCAGAGGGAAGGAGGGATGAAGATGCTGAATGCAGGCTTTCCAGTGGTGGTTCTCATTCTTTCATGGGCATCAGAATCACACAGTTGAATCACAGATGCCAGGGCCTCACCAGGGACTCTGATTCAATCATCAGAATCTGGTTGAATCACAGATGCCAGGGTCTCACCAGGAACTCTGATTCAGGGGTTGGGTAGGGCCCGGTGATAGGCCTTTTAAGCAGCTCTCCGCCCCCCGGGGTTGCAAGGGGCCCACGGAGCACTCCAAGAAATGCAGGGCCACACTCTCCATGGCTTGGCCCTGGGAATGGGACCTCTGGGGGCTGCCTGTGAGCTCCTGTTCCTCATATGCTCAGGCTGGGGCTTTGGACCCTTTCTCAGCAGATAAACTATGTGGCACAATTGTTGGGATTTCTAACCACTTGGAGTTTTTCTCTGGCCATAGCCAAGGCCCCCCCGCTCCCTGACCAGCCGGCTTCTAGGGAGATAGGAGGTTGTGGAGGGCTTTTCCTCTGGTACCCACTTCTGCGAGGGACTCGACTGAGCCTGCCTGTGGTGCATCACCCTCTTGAGCCGCTTGGGGCGCACCTGCTCACCCTCTGGCATTGCAGCAGCTGCATGTTTTAGGGCCACTCCTGCTTGGCTGTGTGTTGTGTGTGCTGCAGACCCAGGGCAGCAGGGGTTTGGGGATGTGTTTCGTCCTGTTCCTGGAGTCTGACCATGGCCTGGTACCCTGCCCAGCTGCAAGAGAACCAATGGAAACTCTTCTTCAGATATTGGAGAGGCCGTCCCTAGGCAGGTGGGCTCTTGCCAAAAAAAAGTGACCATGGGGTCTGCAGAGGGGCACTGACCCAAGTGGAAGCTGCTGCCTCATCTTGTTATGTGAACAAGTGATCCTGCTGGTGCCAATCTTGGGTCTGTGGTTTTTATTTTTTTTTTCCAGTTGTGGGATGGATTGCATTGAACTCTCCCACGCTCCAGTGGTGACCTCTTTGAAATCAAGGTCTCTGATCCAGCTGGACGGGGACTGGGCAGAACTCATGGGCTCATTACAGAAATGCCAGCCGTGGCCCAGTCTGGTCCACCCCCTGCTCTGATCTGGCCAGCTCAGCAAGTGACCGCTGATCCTAACATTTCCTAGTTCTCCTGACCCTGAGAGAAGTGAAGGAGCACCAGAAGGCCCAGGGACTTTGTGATTTTATTGTGTGAAACTATTTTATAGATGAACAGGACTCAGGTCAAACCCCGAACTCCCCAGTTTTTTGGGAGTCTGGGTAGCTCTCAGAGAGACCCCTGTCCTGCATACTTCTTTGCATAACAATATTGAACATATGCCTAGAATGGTACACTTTACAAAGCAGTGTAATTAATTTTCCTAGTACCCTAAGTGGTCAGTATTACTGTCATGAAGATTCTCATTTTGTTGATCAGAAAACCTGTGTGAAGCTCAGGGAGATTTAAATGATGTAGAATGCAACATCACATAGGGATGAAAACACCTCATCTGTCTGATGTCCGTCTGTCCATCCATCCATTCATCCATCCATCCAACAAATATTGGGCACCTGCAATTTAAAAGATAAAATAATAATGGCATCCATTTTTTGAGTATGTAATAAGTTCTGGGCTTTGCATGTACATTTAATTTTCTCAGCAACCCTATGCAGTTGCTATTGTTATGGCCACTTTACCAGTAAGGAAGCTGCAACTCAGAGAGGTAAAGAGATTTTTCCAGCTAGCGAGCAGGGAGTCATGATTTGAGGCAGGCCTACCTGCCTCCAGAGTTCATACTCTTGATCCTTCGGTCTACTTCTCTAGAAGTAACACCTGTCTTGGTCTTTTGTGTACTTTGCCAAATATCACTGTTGCTCAGACGGTGGATGCATTTCAATATCTATCTGTTCTTCTGTCCATCCACCCGTTCTCCCATCTGCTTGTCCATCCATCCATCCATCCACTCATCCATCCATCCTCCAAGATAATCTGTAAGCTGGGCATCGATTCTTCAATCCAGTTGCCCATCCCCCTCCCTCCCTTTTACCCTTCTTCCATTCTCCCTTCATCCATCATCGGTCCTCCCTTCCTCCAACAGTGTACCGGAGGCAGCTAGTGCCAGCTCACGAGAACTCAGGAACCAGTGATGTGCATCTCTTTGCAGATTCCCATTCAGTGATGCCACTTTCGCAGCTTGAAGTCGGTGGAAGTATCCACGCCTCGGAAATGCTTCATAGCAGGGCCCTTTTTCCTGGAGAGCTGGTTAAATACTTGCCAGCACAGCACTGCCAGACTCCATTCTCCTAGCCATCCAGCCTCTTATTCCTTCCTCGACTGTCTCTTCACCCATCCATCTGTCTGTTTGCCCAGCTACATAGTCACTTAACCAAATTTATACATCTGCTCATCCATCTATTTGTGTGTCTGTTCATCTGTTTATTTGTCTCTGTCCATTCCTCTGCAAGCCTATCCGTCTACCCATCCACCTGTCTGTCTTGTGCCCATCCATCAGCCCAACTCTCCATCTCCCATCCATTCATCTTTCTGTGCATTCACTCACTTATCCATTTATCCTCTCTGATCCCATTCTATCCATCCATCCATCCATCCATCCATCCATCCACTCACCCACCCACCCACCCACCTGCCATCTTAAACTTACCTAGAAGCTCCTATGTTATAAGCCCTGTGCTGGGTCATGGGGCCAGGAAGAAGACACAGTCCTTGCCCTCAGAGCATTTTCCCCTTTCCCTAGAGGGGGCCTGGGTTTGCTCCCCTCCCGCCTCTCCTCCCCAGCAGCCCAGATTCCCTGCTGCAGAGACCAGGCCCCCAGCTTCCTGGTGTGGTGCGGTGGGACACAGCGGAGCAGATTCCAGGCAGGACCTGGCTGGATTGCCGCCTGGGACCTGGGGCTCCGCATCCCACCAGCCCGAGCTGTCCATTCGCCACTTTACCTGAGTCTCCTCTCTCCTCTGTTGTCTGTGTTTTGTCTCCTCCCTGTCCCACCTGCTCCTCTCACCTGCTCTCCTTCTGCCTGGCTGCTTGGGGCTCCAGCTTTCTCCAGACCTGACTAGGCTAAAGGAGAGATACGCCAGGACTAAGAGAGACATCTTGGCTTTGAGAGTTGGGGGGAGAGACATGCAGGAGCTGAAGCACAAGTACGATTGTAAGGTATTGTCTGTCTGTCCCCTCAAACCCTGGACGGGGGCCATTTCCAGCTGCAGCTACCTGCAGGGGCCTTTCCTGCTGCCCTGGTACCACGAAGCCTCCCAGGCCCACCCCTGAGTCCCAGGGCCATCCTGAGACCTGGACCCTGGCCACCCTCACGTCTGTGCTGGAACTGGCAGATGCCTTAAGCCACGTCTTCCTTTCCATGTTCTCGCCCGTTGTCTTCCTCCCCACCCGGAAGTGAAACCCTCATTGTCCACCAGAATTCCCAGGAGGGTTTTTAAACTTTAGGACCCTTGGAATCACCTGGGGTGCTGCATTAAAAATGCAGGTTCCTGAGCTCCAGCCCCAAGGGTGCTGCTTCTGTAGGTCTGGGATGAGGCTCAGGAATCCGCAGATTTCATAATCTGGACAGTTGGGCTACATGTTGAAAAACGTGAGTGTTGGTGACATTGGATGTTCCTATCCCTCCTCACTATTCAGAGGAATCCAGGATAAGGAAGTCTGTCTGTCTTAGAGAGACATCACAGGATTTTCTTAAACTTTTAGATAATGATGATATTGACCACAGTAGCTTCCATTAATTGAGCACCTGCTGTTTGTGTCTTGGCTAAAGGCATGGACTTTCGAGGTCTGTGGGCCTGGTTTGAATCCCAGTCTCACCACTTCCTCACTGTGTGATCCTGAGCAGGCCCCTTGGCCTCTCTGAGCCTCGGTTTTCTTGCCTTTGAAATGGGAGCATTCACAGCCCCTCCTCTGGGTGGCTGTGCGGGTTGATGATCAGGCCTGTCGGGTGTGCGGCGCTGTGCTTGGTCTAAGAGCTCAGTGGATGGTTGCTGTCGTTATCTGCGCTCCTGACTGCCCTGTCCTTGTGGCACTCTGACAGTAGCTGCCTTTCTGCATCTTTTAGAAATGTCAAGTACCTGGCTAGTGGCCACACCAGGGATCGGTGACAGAGCTGGGGTTCCAGCTGAGGTCCACTGCATACCGGAGCCCAAGCGCCCTCCATCCTGCAGTGCTGCCCACTTTTTTGGAACGTGGAGCCTTCCAGGAGGAGGAGAGCAAACCCTTTACAGTTTACGAGACCTTTCACAGATACCCCCGAGAGGCCTGCAGCCCAGGGCAGGGGCGGGGCTGACCTCGCAGGAAGCCAAGGCTCAGAGTGGAGCCAGGAGCTAGTGAAGGGCAGAGTCTAAGACGGGGCCTTTTCCCTGCTGCAGCCACACACTGTGGGAATGGGCGGATTCAGCAGGTTTACCTGGGGACACCTTCTAGGGTGTTTGCCTGTTCCTTTTTGCCCAGGAAAATGCCAAGAGAAGGACCTTAGATGATTCCCTGAAAGACCACTTTGGGGGGTTCATAGGACAGCCCCATTGATGGCTTTCTGCCAGAACAAGAACTGGATTCTGGAGCAGAGGTTTTGGATCTTGTGAGGGTGTCACCCTCTCTTCCTGCACCCCCCCTCCCACAAGAAGAAGAAGATGAGCATCTATGCCATCCCTTTTATTAGATTCTCAAAGGCCTCTATGACCACTCTCCCTGCCCCACCGCCAGAAAAGGCCAAGCACCACTGCTCTAGGTTTGTCCCGTAGAGATGCAGGGCAGGCTGGGGGCTTTCTTCCTTTTCCCTGCTGCTGGTTCCTTCCAGGAAGTCAGCCTCCTTCCTTAAAAGCCGCCACCCCTGCCTCCCCATGCATAGCACCTGGTGGCTTCCAGCAAGGCTTCCTTGCCCAGACCCCCAAGAAGTGCTTGGATACTTAAGTGGGGACCATGGGGTTATTGGAGGTGAGAGCAGAGACGAGAGATACCCCCCACCAGATTAGTGCACCCCACCTTCAGCAGAGAGTTTTAGGAAGGAGAAGGCTTTCTTAGAGCTGCACTGTCTATTATGATAGCCATGTGGCTCTTTAAATGGAAATTAACTAAAATTAAATATAATTAGAAATTTGGGTCCTTCCTTGCACCAGCACATTTCTTTTTTAATTTATTTTTATTTTTGAGATGGAGTCTCACTCTGTTGCCCAGGCTGGAGTGCAACGGCACAATCTCTGCTCACTGCAGCCTCTGCCTCCTGGGTTATTCTCCTGCCTCAGCCTCCCAAGTAGCTGGGATTACAGGCACCCACCACCAGGCCTGGTTAATTTATATATTTTTAGTAGAGATGGGATTTCACCATGTTGGCCAGGCTGGTCTCGAACTCCTGACCTCAAATGGTCTGCCTGCCTTGGCATCCCAAAGTGCTGAGACTACAGGCGTGAGCCACTGCACCGGCACATTTGAAGTGCTCATAGTCACATGCGGCCAGTGGCTGCCATATTGGGCAGTGCAGATTCAGACTTTCTATCACTGCAGAGTCTTCTCCCAGCTGGTACTGCTGTGTGTCGGAGAAGATGTGGGGGCCAGGGCTGGGGCTTGGGAGGACAAAGGACTGGCTGAGGGGACAGCAGCTCTGTTTCAGGCCTGGGCTCCCCCAGCGCCCAGGGTGCCCACTTCCCCATTCTGGGCACGCGCTCTCCTTACGTCTCATGCTCTGCTTAGCTTGCTACGCTTGTGTCCATGGATCCCCTCCCCACTGCCAAGGGAAGCTGCCTCTTGCTTTCTGGCAACTTCAGCCTTTTCTCCTTTTCCTGGACAGTGGCTCAGTAAGAAACCTGGCTGTTTTGGGGGGAGACAAGGGATGGGTCCTTCATTTGGATTTGGCGGATGGAATGGGGGTGTGCACACACCTCCTTTAGTTGCTCCTAAGGTCATGCGCAACATCAGGAGCACATTTTGCTCCTCAGGGAGCTTTCTCAGACCCAGTCTGTTTGGTGCTCTCGGACCCTGGCAAGGATAGGTACTGCTATTCCTCAGTTTTGCCTGGGGAAATGGAAGCTCAGCAACACTCAGTGATGTACCCAGAGTCATGCCACTAGGGGGTGGCCCAGGGCTCCAGGTCTCCAGCACCCCTTGCCCCCCTCCTAGCCAGGTCACATCATCTCCTGGATTTGAAATCTGTTCACATAGTTTGTCCTGAGGGGGAGAAAATCAGCTATGGCCTCCTCTTTCCTGTAAAGAGGGAGATCCCGGGCATGAACACGTGCCTCCTCATCCCCACTGTCACCCTTGGCCACTGCTCACTGATCTGGGAGGGAAGGGTCTGGGTGGTTCTGACCTCTGCAGGCCGAGGCCCCGGGAGGCGGGTGCCCTTCTGTGGCAGGTGTCCCAGGCTGTCCCTTTCCTGATGAGCCTCTCTATCTTTGCTCAGATGACCCAGCTCATGAAGGCCGCCAAGAGCGGGACCAAGGATGGGCTGGAGAAGACGCGGATGGCCGTCATGCGCAAAGTCTCCTTCCTGCACAGGAAGGACGTCCTCGGTGAGGCGCTGCCTGAGCAGGAGGGTCTGGTGCCCAGCTCTGGGCTGGAGGTTGGGGATGGGGGTTGGGTTTTTGCTTTACGCCCCAGAGGATATGCTGGGTGGGTAACACTTGGTGTACAGCTTCCTCTGGTGGTGGGAGTTGGGGGCTGAGTCCCAAATACCCTGGTGTCCCGTGTGTCTCCCCCTCCTCTGGCAGGCATGGCCTGTCCCATGGGAGAGCTGGGCCTCTCCCTTCAGCATCCCTGCTCCTGCTTTTGTCTCGGCTGTCTTGGCCTCCTGCCCCCCATGCTGTCTGGCTCACCTGTCCTCATCTTTTTCGTTCCTGTTCCTCCTTCCTTTATCCATCTACCCATCTCTCCAACCAGCTGACATTTACTGAATCCTACTAAGCGCCTCAGCCTGTGCTGCAGGCAGGGACCCAAGATGCGTGTCTCAGCAGTGCCTCCGGGGCTGGCTGGTGGCACAGCGCCGGAGACAGGCACGGAAATGGGAAATGACAGTGCGGGTTGACAAGTGGGACCCTGGGGTACCCTGAGGGGCATGGAGGAAGTGAGGATGGACTTGGGGGAGGAAAGGTCTGGGAAGAAGGAGGCACAGGTCCCCACACATAGGGGAGTTGGGGCTCTGGAAAGAGGAGTGATCGGGCCTGCGGAGCCCTGGGGGTGGGAAAGTGCAAGGCGATCCAGAGAGGATCTCTTAGTCAGCACTGATTATTTATTGTGTGCCAGGTGCTCTCCTGTGAGCCTGCAGTTCCTCACTTAATCCTTATCCACACCACACAGGGTACAGAGGACGCCCACATTCCCATGCAGCAGATGAGGGAATAGGCACAGAGAGGTTCAGTGACAGGGCTGAGGACACACAGGCCTGGAAGGGATGGAGGAGGCCTCATGTGGCAAAATTGAGGGCGAGGTTGACAGATCAGGGTCCGGTCAGTGCAGGCTCTGTGGGCCTTGTTGGGCATTTGCCTTTGGTCTTAAGGATACTGGAAGGTCATTAGAGGGCTTTAGGCAGAAGTGTCCCATGGTCAGATTTGATCAATTGGTCATTCACTCAACACGTTTTATTAAGCATCTACTATGTGCTAGGAACTGTCCTAAAGCCTTGGGCACACCTGCGAACATGAGTCCTGACCCTGTTTCCCTGAACCCCCCCTCAGGTGCCTACCCTTGCTCCTGGTCCCCACCAGGCTCTGGTCCCTTCCTCCGGAAAATGTCCATGTCAGGGCCCCTGTCGTGTTCCCAGGCCTTGGTGGGACAGGGTCAAGTGAGACCAGCCCCTGCTGCCCATTTCACATCTTTAGAGGCGACAGACAAGGAGACAAGGAATGCCAGGACAGTGGGCTCACAGCTGATGGAATTCGGGGGGGTGCCACTTCTCCTTGGAAGGAAGGAGGCCTTGTCTGGAGAGTACATGCTGCCCGCCCTCAGCACACAGCCTGGTGTAGCGGAAGGAACACAGGCCTCGAGCCAGGCAGAACTTTGAGAGCCTGTGGCCTCCTGGAAAGTTTTATAGTTTGACCCCCCCATGCCTCAGTTTCCCCATCTGTAGGGTGGGGTGGCTGTGTCTCTTGTAGGGCTGTGGTGAGGATGTCCGAGGTAGTACGAGGAGAGAGAGAGCCCTGTGTAGCAGACGTTATTCTTGGCGGGCGGTCAGTCCCTAAGTGGAGGCCTTTGATGCTGGGGTGGCCTGAAACTTGCCTGTTCAGAACCTGACTCTGCGGCCTTCTGGCTGCAGTGTTGCCTTGCACTACTTTCCCCTCTCGGGGCGGCAGACTGTAAGTGGTTTTCATCTGTAAAATGGGCTGAACCCCACCTGTGTGCGTGGTGCGGTGCTAAACCAGGGTAGGTGTGCGCAGGCCTGGCACAGCCTGGGCGTTGAGTAAATGTGCATGCTTCTTCTGCTTTTCGGGGAGTACTGACCCCCGATGAGGGAGGGAGCAGGCCAAGTGGCCATTCTAAACTCATTGTAATGGTACAGAGAAGGACAGCGTGGCCAGGCCAGCTGGCTGGGAACTCTTCCTGGGTCGCCCTCCCCACCCCAGGCTGACCAAGGCTCTCCCCAGGCCTCCCCACCCCGCCCATAAGGCCAGTGCCTTCCTGAAGTGACCCTCCCCGCCAAGGCGATATTAATAGCCGTGGCAGGGCTCGAATCACAGGCCAAGAATGTTACCCAGCGGCTCGTGGGGGAAGAGGAAGCTGCGAGGCCGGCTGGGGTGGGTGCGGAGTGATGCCTGGGGCGTGATGTGGGCTCAGCAGGAGGGCCTGCACCACCCCCACCCCCACGCCGTCATCCGCTGTCCCTCCTCCTCCTCCTCCTCTGTTTCCTGCTCAGGTAAGGGCTTACTGGGGTGTCCCTGTCCCCTCCCACCCCTGGGGTCACTGCCGCTTCTCCTTTCCTCCCCAGCTGCCCCACAGCTCCCAGTTCCTGCTGCCCACGGCTGCTGCTGGAATCAGAGCCATTCAGCAGCAGGGGTCCCCTCTCCCAGCACCTGTGCCTCGCTCTGGTGGGGGCTGGAGCCCTCTCTGGATGCCCCCTCACTGCCTGACCTCCCCCCACTCTCAGAGGCCTGGGCCTTGTCCATCTCATTCCGTCCTCCACGCGAAGTCCGTCCCCACTCACGCCCGGGTTCCGTGTCAGGCTCCTGTTGCACTTTTTTTCCTTTAGCTCTGCATTTTTTATTTAAAAATGAAAGCGCCAAACCAAGCTGCCTTGTTTTTCTCAGGGCTTATTTTCTTCCCCCTTTTAGACTTCCAGAAGAAAACTATTTTTAGTTCCTAGTGATGGGGACATGGGCGGCCAGCCTTTGCTGGGCCAGAGCGGGCGGGCCTCAGTGGGGACAGTGGCTTCTGGCAGCATAGACACCGAGAGCCCAGGCCCCGCAGGACGCGGCTTTTATTTCTGCCTGTTCACCCTCTCGCTCATCACCCAGTTATTCGCTGATGGACGGTTCCAGGCTCTGGGGCGCAGCAGGGAACTCTTGAGAGTAGCTACAGGGCGGCTTTTGCCCCACAGGGCCCCAGGAGCTGCTCGCACCCTAGGACCCGAGTCCAAGGCTGGTCTAGGGGTACTCTCAGCTCCTGAGGCCTGGGCAGGGTGTGCGGTCCCTGCCTTAGCCGTGTCATTGCCTGTCTGAACTTTCCAGGTGACTCGGAGGAGGAGGACATGGGGCTCCTAGAGGTCAGCGTTTCGGACATCAAGCCCCCAGCCCCAGAGCTGGGCCCCATGCCAGACGGCCTGAGCCCTCAGCAGGTCTGTAGGGGAGTGGGGCAGGTGGGAGTCTTCAGGGGAAGGGGCGGCTTGGGGGTTCCAGCCTATTCCCTGCGGCCACACTGGCCTGGGTCTCACAGGGGCTGTGATGATTGGGGGCTCTTGGCAGAGCCCAGTGGGTCACGGGCCTCCTGGTTCTCTCCTCAGTCATTGCACGGGCTTTCCACTTTCTCCGCCGAGGGCTCTGTGCTGTTGGTTTTGGGGGGTGGGCTCCCGGCATCTAGGGCGCTTGCCTCCCTGACTCCATGGCACACAGAGTGGCCCTGTTGGCTGTTTCTGACTAAGGTGTCCTTTGAAGAATGGGATGGGATCCCAGACTTGGGGCAGGCTGCAGATGTGTAGGGGCCCAGCCCCTGCCATCTCTCTGCCTGTCCTTACCCTGGGGCTCAGAGCTGCCACAAGCTCCCACCAGAAGCTGAGGCTCTTCAAGGATGGCTTCCATCTTGTAGAGCATTATGCTGAGGTCGGGTGGCATTGGGCTGGGATCTCTGCCGGTCATGTTTTCCCCTCGCAATCCGCGTTTTGCCAGCCATGAAACGATATGAGAGCCCTGGTTCCTCTGCCTGCGATGCCACTGAGCAGGATGTGACAGGGCAGCGAGCTTAATGGAAGGGATTTCCCTTTTTGTTTTGGTCAGCAGAAAATCCTATGCTTGGCTCTTTTTGAAAATCAGGAAGATAGAGCCACCCTGGCCCAAGCTTCTGCTGCCCGAAGCTGGCCAGAGCAGAGTTGGGGCAGGCAGCTCTCTTCTCGGGACACTCCCTCTCCCGCATTCATGGCCATCCACCTGCCTCCCTCATGGACGGTACCTGCCCAACCCAGCACGGCATTTGAGATGGCGAAGCCCCAGCTATGAGAGCCTGAGAGACCAGACCTCCAGCTCAGGGTGCAGGCCGCCCCCTCCTGCTCATGCCACCCAGGGCTCTCTCCTCCTGGTGCTGCCCCTGGGCTCTCCCCTGCAGCCCTGTGCAATTTCTGGATCAGGCAGTGTCAGTTACGCTGGGCCAGCAGCTCCCAACTAAGGGTGATTTTTGCCCCCAGGAGACTTTTGGCAACATCTGGAGACAATTTTGGTTGTCACGACTTGGGTTGCTACTGGCATCTGGTGTGTAGAGGCCAGGGAAGCTGCTGGACATCCTACCAGGCATGGGACAGCCCCACCACGGGGAGTCACACAGCCCCAGATATCCTTATGCTCTGCTCTGGGTGCCCCTTGGACACAGGATTGTTGACAGTGGATCAGCGATGGGACAGCAGTCTTGTCATCTACTGGGGCTGTGTGGCCAGGCTGGAGTGCAGTGGGAAGATTGGAGAAGAGCCTGCTGGAGGCAGGAGGAGGCAGCAGGAGCAGGGAGCGGCTGGGGTTCTGGTGGTGGTGGGCTCCTGATGGACACTCAGAGTAGCTGTGGGGTAGAGTGGGGGGTCAGTTACCTCCCAACCCTAGATCGAGAGGGACGGGCTTCCCCTCCGCCCTTCTCACTTGTGACACCTCCTGTGAGCACCATCCTAACTTTGCTGCACAGTAGAGTCACCAGGGAAGTTTTCAAAATTCCTGTTATCCAGGTTCCACCCTGCCTGGAGGACAGCAGAGCCTCCGGAGATCTGGGGTGGGAGCCGGTGACTGTGTTGGAAAGATCCCCGGCTGAGATGGTGTAGGGGGCACACCATGCTTGGCCAGGTGCTGCAGGCAGCTGCTGAGGGGTTGTGGTCACCTCTGTGGGCCAGGCTTCTGGAGGGGTTAGGGTGCTGGTGAGAGGGAAAGGAGAAGGGACTGTTTTTTATTTATTTATTTTAATTTTAATTTTTTTTTGAGACAGAGTCTTGGTCTGTCACCAGGCTTGAGTGCAGTGGCACCATCTCGGTTTACTGCAACCTCTGCCTCCTGGGTTCAAGTGATTCCCCTGCCTCAGCCTCCTAAGTAGCTGGAGCTACAGATGCATGCCACCACGACTGGCTAATTTTTTGTATTTTAGCAGAGACAGGGTTTCACCATGTTGACCAGGATGGTCTCCATCTCCTGACCTCATGATCTGCCCGCCTTGGCCTCCCAACGTGCTGGGATTACAGGCGTCTGAGCCACTGCACCCGGCCAAGAAGAGACTGTTTAGCCAGAAGCAGAGGCCACCTGTGGGGTGGGAGGGTACCCCAAGGCCTGTCTTGTAGAAGAGGGATAGCTCAAGGATTTCATTCACAAATGAAGGGGGCTGAGATTCAATTTACACTAACACTAAGACAGAATTTTCTTTTCTTTCTTTCTTCTTTTTTTTTTTTTGGAGACAGAGCCTTGCTCTGTTGCCCAGGCTGGAGGGCAGTGGCATGATCTTGGCTCATTGCAACCTCCAGCTCCCAGGTTCCAGCAATTCTCCTGCTTCAACCTCCTGAGTAGCTAGGACTATAGGCATACGCTACCATGCCCAGCTGATTTTTGTATTTTTAGTAGAGATGGGATTTCACTATGTTGACCAGGCTGGTCTCGAACTCCTGACCTCAGCTGGGATTACAGGCGTGAGCCACCTTGCCTGGCCTAGAATTTTCTATTAGAGTTGTCTAAAGATGGAGGTGGCCACCCATCATGATGGAGGAGCATGGTGATTCCCCCATCCCCAGATATATGTGAGGGGCTTGCCCTGGGATGCGCCCTTCCTCCTCCATTCTGCAGCCTGGGTAGCAGGGCATTCCTTTTGGGTGGGCAGGGTCTTTGGAAGGAAGAGCAACCACCAGGCCCAGTGGTCCCAGTTGGGACATGGGAGGGATGGGTTTCTCTGTCCTGTAGTTATCAGCTTCCCTTCCCGTCACCTGTGCAGCAGGTGTCACGTGCACTGACTGTGCTTTTTGGCCCGAGCAGGTGGTCCGGAGGCATATCCTGGGCTCCATCGTGCAGAGCGAAGGCAGCTACGTGGAGTCCCTGAAGCGGATACTCCAGGTGCCACCTCAGGGAGTTCTCAAGGGTCTCTGGGGAGGAGAAGGGAGAGCCCTGGAGGGATACTTTACATAGGGTGTTTGGGGACTATGGGGGGTTTTAAGGGGACAGGACCATAAGCCAGCAATGTTTTATGGGGACAGTAGAACCTCCAAATGTAGACAGCAAGAAGTCTTGATGCCCTGGTGTTCGTGGGAGTGGCTTCTTTCTGAACAGAATTGGGATTCTTTGAAATGACTCCTTGGCATATAGCCCTATGTATGCCTAGAAGGGACTGTATCCTCCTTGCCACTCTGGGATCCCCTGGGGCTTGGGCCACGTCTCCCCACCCTCCTGGGGATCCTTAGGTGGGAAGATGGGTAGGATGGAATCCTCCTTGCCTAGAGAGGGGTAGGATGGAGTCTTCTTTCTGGCATCAAGAGGGGCAGGATGGAGTCCAATTTTTCACATCAGGAGGCCCAGGGATTGCTGAGCAGATGCTTGCATGACATGACTAGTATGTGCCGACCTGGTCTATAGCTTGAATCCCTGAGACAGTGACTCTTCTGGAATGTTTTGGGCATCAGAGTGAGGCCACCAGGGCAGGGAGTTATTGCTAATGATCCCCTCTATTCCCCTCCTGAGTTTGGATCCTCAGAGAGGGATCCCAGGTATCAGGCAGGTAGAGATGAAAATATCACCTGTCTCTGACAAAGCTGATTGGAGAGTGACGCTGGGTATGGGAGCCCAGGGAGCTTGCAGTGACCTTATCACTCACAGGCTCCATGGCAGCCAGAGCTTCGCCCTCAGGCTGGCCTCCAAGGAGCTCCTTGCAGGCAGATGGCCCGTAAGAGACCCTCTTCCTCCCAACCAATTTAACACAGAAGTCATGGGGGTGTTGTGGGTGGCCGGTGAGGCCAGGGGTGTTATGTTGATGGAGATCCTTCTAGAAGCACATAGGAGTGAGGGATGATTGCCACCCCACCACAGGAAGGCCCATTCATGGCATTTATGGCTGGCAGGTAGGGAGAGGGGCTGCGCCTGGCCTGTGGCCTCACCCCGCCCTCCCCGGCAGGACTACCGTAACCCCCTGATGGAGATGGAGCCCAAGGCGCTGAGCGCCCGAAAGTGCCAGGTGGTGTTCTTCCGTGTGAAGGAGATCCTGCACTGCCACTCCATGTTCCAGATCGCTCTGTCCTCCCGTGTGGCTGAGTGGGATTCCACCGAGAAGATCGGGGACCTCTTTGTGGCCTCGGTAAGTATCTCCAAACTTTTCCCCCAGCCCACCAAGGTAAAGCCACAACCAGTCTGACTCCGGAGCCATGCAGTCCAGTCTCCTGCCTCTGCCTGCTCCTCTTGCCCAAGTCAGTGGGGTCAGAGGGTGGCAGGGCCTCCAAGTCTTCCTGGCCTGATCGAGGGGTGAGTGTGACACCTTGAAGTGGACAGGATGTCCTTGGACGCACCTGCCAGGCTGTGGTGCTGCTGAAGCCAGGTCGCTGTTCTGGCTCCTCCCAGGTAGCAGCACCTCCTCCTGGCCTCCCAGCCACTGTGGGCAGCCACCTGGCTGGTCATAAGCTCCCTTACCAAGCACCTGAGGGTGACCGGCCACTGTGAAAGGCTTGCACAGACCGCAGCTTCGGCCCTGAGAGGATGTGCCATGGTGCTGGGGAAGGGGCCCTGGATCACGATCCAGATGACCTGGTTCTGGTCCCAGCTCAGTTCTGCAACCTAGGGCAGGTCCAGACCCCCCTCTGGGCTCAGGCTCCCCATCTGTGTGATGAGGGGTGCACTGGATTCCTGGCTTTTCCCGCTGAAGTCTGTGGACCCCAGAGATTCATGGGGTGAGGGAAGGTCAAGATGATAGTACTCTACTTTGATGTGTTTTAGGTAATTAGGTTTTGCTAAAAGAAAAAAAATTTGTTTGAAAGCCATAGCTCTTGATAGATTAACTAAATAGGTCCGATGTCCCAGGTATATGTCAAGGGGCTCTGGTGAGAGGGTTGGTTGACTCCAGGCAAACCATCCCTCCCTTGGCAACTCAACTCTGGGCACACCACCTGGTGAGAGGCCAGGAGCACTTTCCTTGAAGGTGGAGGGCCAGAGGCATTCCATTTCCTGAACACGAATATAGGAAAAAGAGA